ATAGAGAGAGATATATATAAAGAAAGGTACACAAGAGATATCGAGAGCTGTTGAGCCAACCGTTTTCTCAAATCGGCAAGTAGGATCGAAGGCTTAACGAGATTGGTAGGAGTTAAAAGCTAAAAGAGGAAATTGTGACGTAATTGCGCTATTTCCTCGAAAGAAAACCTTGAGACCAATCCCAAAGGTTGATCCAAGGCAGCTTACTCGAATGGGCTTTCGTGAATGGGCTTAACGATTGATAGACACGCTACGAAGATATGCTTAGCGTCGGTGATTTCTGGAATTATTGGCGATCAATCCATCGTTAATAATAGTGTTTTGGTTCGGTTTACAAGTCTGGAAATGCACTCGGCCGTCCCCGTATTGGCGCAATTTCCGCTGATCAATTTTATTCCGAGGTTTCTACCTGCCAGTCTATAATGCTCGGTTCCTGTAATGGATAAACTGAGCTTAATGTCGCAGTAAAACTATCCATCATCGTTCCAAGAGAATTTAGGAGCTTCTAAGTAGAGTAATTTCTTTGCATAAATATACAAAGAAATTACTCTACTTAGAAATTGGTGGAGAATTTAAGTTTACATTTAATTGAGTTTAACATATAAAATAAAAGAACACATCGAAAAATCCTGCAAAATACTTTCCAAGTATAAAGTTTAATAATATGGTAATGGTGTAAAATTACAAATGAAAGAAAAAGTTTTCAACATCTTTCTGTTTAGTAATGTTGCTCTAGTACATATTCTAAAATATATTTAGCCTTTTATCACCGAAGAATTTCTATCCGCTGCTAAATGTTATGTCGCTCATGTCGATTCTCTAGTTATTGTCTGACAAAAGTACTTTTCAGTGAATTGTATCAGATTTGCTGAATGATAAATATATTCTGTTATATTACGCGTGTTATCGTATCGAACTTTCTCCCCGTGCGACCTGTTGATTCGGAAATATCGAAATGGATTGATATCTCACCTCGTAGAGATCTCATTTTGAGAAATGGGCGATGTTTTTCATTCTCCGATTATTGTATTATTAAATTCTCGTTTGTTGTTTGATTGTATTATTAGAATTGATGAACTTACAATATTTATACAAATTTGGTAAAAGTGATCAGAATGATTTAGAGGATAAAAGGGAGTATTTCCAGAATTTGACAACTTATTTTTATTGTAGATTAATATCTAACTTAATCGTGTTAAAAATATAATAATATGAAATAATAATACGAAAAAGATATTATCCATAAATTTGATAAGAGGCCTGTCAGCCTTAAATATAAGAGCGATAAAACTTTTTAGTTTTTTTCTACTTTGCTCATCTGCGTGCAATTTAATTTTTCGTGCACGTAGTAGACTTTTAATGTGTTCTCAGGTTCATTTGTTACCAAGATTTTTAATCAGTGGAGGGAAATAAAAAAACACCGTTTTCGTATTCAAAGATCCATTAAGTTCAAAATTTGCAACTTTTAGGATACTTTGCGTTCTCTCTTTTATTCTCTCTAAACGATTTACTAGCCCGTAGATATGTGTTCCGCCTTCCACTCGCTCGAGCGTTTTTACGAGAATAACAGTTAACGGGATCATTAAACGCCGCGGAGATCTTAATTAGAGAAGATACGAGTGATCGATGGCACGCCGACCCTTCTGACACTCGGCGATTGGTCGGCGGTGGCCTGGAAGTTATTTAGAACTTCGTAAATTAACGAGCAACGAAGTTAGCTGCCGCGACACTCCAACGACGAAGTCCCGATCCCCATGGGAAGTAATGATCGCGCAATTAAATCTTTTGGGACAGATGCACCGCGACGCGCCGACCGGTTTAATCTGATTAACGACGAGAGCTGTCAGGACTTGGAGGGCTTTTGCATTTGCACCCCATTTTACTTCACTGTTCGGTAGCGATTGGGTTTGCGAATGGGACTTTACGAACCGGCACGAAAATACGTACGGCACGGAGAGAGGAACGCGAAGCTCGCAACTGCACGTCAAGTGGATTTATATTGTTCCCGAGCTCGCCAGACTGGCAGGAAACTTATGCCACCAATGTTCCTCAGGCATTCGTAACGTTAGTTTTTGCTGACACACTGAAATGTTAATGTTAGAACGGAAAGTGGGATATTTTTTTAGCATTCTTTCCCCCCCTTTTATAACTTTCTGAGCTGGTACACGCTGTACACGCGATTCTCTTTCTTAGGAAGCTGTAATTATGATAATATAACGAACATAAAATAAACCATTTTTATCTCGGGATTTTAGTGACTGAATTTCCCGCGGTGTTGTCCACCGAGAGAGAGAGATAATAAAGGAATGTATATAATTAAACTTACCTTAATTAAACAGGCAAAACTAATGCGGAAAACAGCGAGCGTAGGATGTTCTCTTGAGAGAATTCCGCGACTCTTACCGCCAACTCTTTACACGCGGTCCCACCTCGAGCGTAAAATTTGATACCTCGCCGAGGTAACGTTACCGCTTCTCTAAAAGATTCTTTTGGGAGAGTTGATGTAAACAGCACCGGACAGACTCGTTACGGCATAATTATTTGAGATTAAAGAATGACGTCACACGATAATTATACACGTATAATAAAGGTCTAATATAAAAATGTACACGTCATTCGGGACGAATGTTTGAAAATTTACAGCGGAGTATCGAGTCCATGGTGTGTGCTAGATAAGATCATTTTATACTACATATATCGATTAGGCACTTTGGCGAAATAGCTTTAGGGGTAATTCTATCATCCTTGCACTCCTAATAACCGCGTAACAGGACTAATGCGCTTTTCGCGAGACACCGTCACTTCTAACGCTAAATTACACTGCAAACTGCACAAGTGCAGCTAGTCTCTTTGAGTTGGCTTAATGTTCTGTTACAATCTACTTACCTTAAGATTGTCTAACTTGTGCTTCTCGCAATTTCGTGGATCTTAGAGAAATCAATACTCGAAAGAACATTTTTTTCACCGAATCTGGTACCTGATCGAAAACGTGTAAAACCTTAATCGATTTGAGAATAAATAATTCAGTTTTCATTTAAAAGAAACTCACAAGCTCTAGCGAGTCAAAGCGATTTCTATATTTTTTTATTAGCAAATGATATTGTCGAGAAGTAAATTATGTTCATGCTTCCGATTTGAAACTTCAATTTTACTATTATTACTAGCTTCGCTACGTTTATCGAGACATAACTATTGCTTCTCGCAATTTCGTGGATCGTAGAGAAATCAGTACTCGAAAGGATATTTTTCCACAGAATCTAGTACCTGATCGAAAACGTTTAAAATCTTAATCGATTTGAGAATGAATAATTCAGTTTTCATTTAAAAGAAACTCACAAGCTCTACGATTTCTATATTGTTTTTGGCAAATAATATTGTCGAGAAGTAAATTCTGTTCATGATTCCGATTTAAAACTTCAATTTTACTACCATTACTAGCTTCGCTACGTTTATCGAAACGCCACTGTTGAAGTCTCGTTAAGATAAATGATGTTATAGGGTATCATCTGCAAATTAGCGGATGGACAAACTGCGATTAATAGAAAGCAAAGTTTTATTTGTCGTAATGTATCTCGTTACATTTACAATGTACAGGCTGTTGAATCGGGCGAACGAACGAAGCCCGCGCGTTCGCTGGTCCGCGCGCGAGCCGCGGGCGACTCCTTTCGCGCTAGAATTTTCAATCGAAACCCCGGAGTTTGCCGATCGCGGATGAGCGGAGAGCTAAAAAACACTCCGCGGCCGGACCGTCCGTCTCGATAAATCGATACATCTCAGCGACAGTTCATTTCGTCCGGGTCTGGAAATGAAAATCTCCCGGTTACAACGAAGCCCCCCCGCGGCAGTGGCCGCGCGGACGATTACAAACTCCGCCATTTTTAATTTTATTTCTTTTTCTCCGTCCCACCAATTATATTCCGCTCGCTCGACCGCATTTAAATTCTCTGCGCATCGCTCAATTTGTACCTGAAGCACGAAAAGCAATTCCTTTGCTCGCATCCCCTCAAGATTGCTCGCTATTGGACCCTCGCTCGCTAGCAATCTTCTGTACGAATACATTATGAAATCCCCTTTCCGATACGTTATCCATACGCACAGACGTACACGCACGCACGTACGCGCACATTCAGGGTGTCCAGTGATCAGATAAATCTGGAAAACCGGGAACTGTCAGGGAATTTTAGAAATCTGGAAATGTCAGGGAAACGTCAGGAAATTTTACGATTTATCTGGATTTTTTACATTTGTTTCACATTTTTGTTCTGACTAATTTAAAGTTTTTAGAAAATAAACTTTTCTTTGGCTCTCAGTACACTAATTTTCTGTTTTGCTAAACATCAATTTATTTACAAGCGTGGTCGGTAATTTATATTTTCATCGTTGTGTTATTTTATTTCAATGCGTTCAACTGAGACAAAACTATAAAAAAAGATTAATTACTAAACAGTACTATCTAGTAAGTTGCGAACAAAATGCAGTTAAGCAAAACGAAAGCATCATATATGATTACGTACGGTATCACAAATGGTTTGAATTTGTAATGATATGTTCGTTCCTATTGCGCAATGTCTTATACATAGATGGTATAATTGCTTTAATTTACATTTTTACCTTTTTAAATTCCGGACTTTCGTTTCCCGTGAAAAGTATTTCAAGGACTTCGTCATTTAACATTTACTTGATTTACCATACAGATGTACGCAAATTATGTATCTTGAAAAAAGTTACGCTAAACGGTCAGGGAAAAATTAATTCCGGCTCCTGGAAAACTGGAAAAAGTCGGGGAATTTTTTTTTCATTGAGTTTGCTGGACACGCTGCCATTTGTACTAGAGACCCTGTCATCAGAGACTGACCATAGGAGTTCGTCAAATTCCCGCGAGTGAGAGAGAAACATAGGCTATCTCACTCCTCTACGATTCTACGATCTTAGAATCTTCTACGATCGTAAGATAGCCTATATTTCTCTCTCACTCGCGGCGGGGATTTGACGAACTCTTATGGCCAGTCTCTGATTACAGGTTCCCTAATTTGCACGTGCATGCGGACATTTGTATGTACACGCGGATCCTCTCCTTTCCTCCCGCGTAGGGCGCGATAAACGAGCTCTCTCTTTTAAGGACACGAGGTTTTTTTTTTTAGAAGTTGCATCTCAATCGCGAGATCCCGCGTCATCCATCTGTTCATCCTGTGAAAGCCTCGTTCGATTCGAGGCGTGGTCTCCTTTGAGCGTTGCACATACGAAAGGTGCTTATCAAACGCGCTGTTGATCGAGTCCACAGAAGCTGGCCGAGACGCGTGTCCTATCTGTTGGCAGGATATATGCCGAAGATCCGATAAATATCTGTCCGTTCCCTCGCCGACAGAGGGAATCGAGGATTTCACGTGGGGAATTCACGTTCCGCCGCTCTCCGCTTTCCGCATCTCATTATCGAGCGTTTATTTCTCAGGTGTCCGCGCGATTCCTTTGAATGATCTGAAAGCGGATAGCTCCCCGGCGACACTTTGCTCGTTTGTCGTTTTGTTTTCCTTTTTCTCTCTCCCGTCGTCCCTTTTTCTCGTTATAGCTTTTCCACACTTGCGCATTTAACAATTGTCGAATGACCGCACGGGCGAAGCGTCGATAGAATCTTCCATTATCTCGCGAAGAAGTTCTATGAATGACAAAATACAGTTGTTTAAGACGAAGAAAAATAATGCAAAATAAATTTTAATAGATTATGCAAATGCGACGCACGATGTGCAATCGCGGGAAATCTCATTAAATGTAAAAAGAGATAACGATCAGGAATAGAACTTTTTCAAGAAAATTATTTTCGCGACAGTGTTTTATTCGCAAAAGTTTTTCTTATCCTTTTCATAGAAATAAAATGTCAAACAAATAATATACTTTACGTGGATTAGAGTATCGATATTTTCTCGCGATTACTGAATTGCTTGAGACTAATAAAAAAATTATTGAAAAATTATTAGAATTAGCAATGTCTGACAGTGCACGACCTCGTTAATATTTCGTTGAATTATAATTAAAAAATTGCACTGTGCGTTAATTTATAAACCCCTATTACGATTAAATGTGCATTTGGGTCAATTAATTATCGTTGCTTAAATGCCGAAAAATCGAGTGATATATTTTCTCACATTGCTCTTACATTTCTGTACTTGGATTTACACGCGTTAGGATATATGTATTTTATAAGATTATAGATTTTTCGCGTCTTGTAACTTGATTTTGTCATTCGTATCTTTCCTTTATTTCGCGAATTTACGCATGAGTGCGCCTCGTATTATAATTAATTCATTGAATTACGCGCGGAGTACGAGTAATATCACGAAATCTTCGCTGGAGATCGCAACGTACGATATCGTAGTAAACAAACATGGCTTATTAATATTGCTAAATTTTTCTTGGTTCGATGCACTGTTCGTCACGAAGCACTTTAAGATTTCGCCGGTCGGGTTTCGTCACATTCAAACGTAACTTTCCGCAAAACTCGACTCCTCGCCTCGACTGCGGGCACGTTCCTCGGGGACGATGTCGCGACACGTGCGCCTCTGGAAATTGTCCCTCAACGCAGAATAATGCGCGGCGTCTGTACCGGTCTCGTCGTGCACGCGGAAACGGCACTTCTTTTCGAGGATACAAGCGGTCCTTATAATCCTCACGCCGCGGCACTTCTTCCCTTTTCCGCCGGAATACGTCGGGGATCAGATACACGTCTCGTTCGCCACGATCGGCGTGACGCCGTCTCTCGTTCTCTCGTTCGGTCGATACTTGGTCCTGCCGTTACTCGAATGCGCGACGAAGAAGGATCTCCCCGCGTCTCGTGGCTGCGTGTCGAGACTGAGGACGTCGCACTGCGTCCTCTCCGCGTCGTCATCCTCGTCGTCGTAGCGTAATCTTATCGGCGAACGGAGCATCGCGCTCGCGTGCGACACGTTGCATCTGAAAGTAAATGAAAATTGCGCGCCTGTTCCAATTGTAACAGCGGATTGACAAATAATCCCAATCCCGGGACTATTTAAGCGTTGACAGCGAGGAGCACTCGCTAACAAGATCAAGCTTCGAACTGATAAGTAGCGGGAACTTAAATGGAAGTTCCGTTCGTATTTCAAAGCTATGGAAAACGCTCTGAAAATTTTCGGAAAAAATTATGGAATATTACTGCCTGACAAGTAAATAATTTCGATATCAGTATTGAGGGGGAGGGTAAATTATAGGATTGTGATAATCAAGCTTTTTAGTCGACATTAACCGGCCAGTGTTTTAATACAGAAAATTTGTTGCGAAAAATATTACCTCAGCCAGGGTTTGAGCCTATAGACTTCCCTTCACCAGTGGTCGAATTGGTGAGACGCCCGCCTAGAGAGAGGGGAAGTCCAGAGTCAAACCCTGGCTGAGGTAATATTTTTCGCATTAAATTTTCTGTATTAAAACTGGCCGGTTAATGTCGACTAAAAAGCTTGACTATTGCTATCTATTACTGACAACTTAAAGAGATTTCTACGTAAAGGATTGTGCTTACCTGATGCTACGTTGGTAGTGTACACTTCTTATGCGAACCATCTGGGACTCTCTTCGGGACCCGCAGCCGCATACCGTGCTATCTCGCATACTACTGAGGTCGTCCCTCGTGGTGATGGGACTCGTCGGCGTGCAGTACAGCGTTCTCTTGAACGCCATCCTGTACTTGGCGCTCATCACGTTGTACAGAATCGGGTTGACGGTGGTGCTGAAGTAGTACAGGCAACCGCCCAGCGGGTACAGCCACTCGTTAATGTCGTCGAAGGCCGACACCTGATACACGTACAATAAGCGCTGAGCGTGAAAGGGCGCCCAGCAGATAAAAAATGTTACCACGACCGCACCTGTGGAATGAAGCCATCGGTATCTTTCACGTAGCCGTGTCGTCGTCTTCGAGGATAAGGAGCGCAATGCGGGAAGGATTATCGAAAATGATATAAAGGTTTAAGCGCATCGCGTAACTCTGACTCGAAAACAAACTTCATTTTCGACAAACTAATTAAACAACCCATTAATAAGATTTTAAGTCGAACGTTTGCTAAAACAGAATTCTGTCTGATTAAATAAAATTACTGAACGAATCGGATGTTAGGGCACAAGTTTAGAATTAATGAAAAGATAAGGGAGAGTCTTCAAACGCTTTGATCTGCCGAAATCATTATCCATAAGAAGAATGTTTCATTCAGTTCTAAAAGTATCCCGTAAGAACGTCGACTTTATTGTATAATAAATTGATCAATTTCTACTCCATTCCGTGACATCTGGCCATAATAAATGCAGACATGGAAATGTTGCTTTGGTTCCTCGTATCGATTATGGAAATGTATTCACGTGATAAAAAAAATATATACGCTCTCTGCCCCTGTTCTTTGAAATAGTGGAATGCTTATGGAAACGCCGGAAATGGAGGGGAACAATTTGGAATATTTATTACCATCAAATATTCCACGTTGTTTAGAATAAAACGAAAAGTGCGGTGATTCGGAACTATACGTGCACCAAGAGAATTTATGCAAAGCAATACTGAGAGAGATATGAGAACGACGAGATCTTCGTGAAAATTTAAATGATGCCTTTGCGATATCGGGGTTCTTCCGGATCTTCCGGCTCTCGCGCATTACCATGGTTTATTATATCGTCGCGGTCGGATGCACTACGAGCGATACTTCGCTATCGTGAATCGGCGAATTTGCGTCGGTGCTTACAAAAACCCTCACAGGCTTCAACCGCGATATCTTGGCCACGGAAATGGGAAATCGAAGCAGTTTTATGATTAATAGATGCCGCAAACGACTTCCTATCTCCATAGAAATATCGTGCACAGTAGTTTACAAGCGCGACATGAAGAAATGACATCCAAACCGGACGCTTACGCGAAAGGAAAGCGTTCTTCCGGGAGCAATAAAGAGCTAGAAAAATGATTATCAGGCAATTAAATCCTAATTAATTTAAATTACTGTTGATAAGTGAAATGATAAGTTTTCAAATCAAATGAAATTTTCCAACAGAGAATTTTCTATGTTTTTACGCGCATCATTCCCGAACGTGCGCAGAAATCCCGTACTTTAACGTTTTTTTAATATTTAGATTTATTCTCCCGACGTGACCGTATTTTCTCCCCGAACGCACTCAATGAGAAATTGAGGATATCAGAAATCTAAAAAAAAAACCCTTATATTATACACCGCGATCGGCACAGTACCTTCGTCGCTTTTCAAAGGACTGTTCTTCAAAAATAATATTTTGCTCTCGACTCACGAATAATAGGAATATTTAAAATTCCGCGTTGTTACATAACGCCGCATCTCTGAGAATAAATGAAACAAAATCGAGGAACTGTTCGCGTTACGCAAGCATCGTTCTTTATAACAACGTTGGATAAATCTCTCATCGATATAATTGCCCATAAACTGTAAGTTAACTTTAGATTGCATCATCGGCTGGAGAGCAGACGCTCAAGAGTGCTTTATATATATATGTAAAAAAAAAACAGCAGGATTATGACGAAACTTTTGTCAGATCTTATTATGAGGTTGGTGTAGAATAAGCTAACTTCGAGCCAACAACGCAGCTGGGTCTGTTGGAAATTATCCGATATTACGTCAATGCGTTACAGAACTTTAACATCCGCTGTCGTGAAACACGCACGTGAAAACGAAAACCATGCGGTTACCGCATGGAATTTTGACACCTCCGTAATAGCTGTTCTCGAAAACGGCTCTCGCAATATGACCCCCCGGCAATTTATCGATAACGTTGAATATATCGAGGCACGCCGATACATCAACCTGACAAGATGTACGTGATGGAAGAAAGATTACAGCGACGGACTCTTCTTGCCGAATCTTTTCGTCTTTTGCAGCGTTATTTAAAAAAACAAGCTTACGCGCGTTCTACGTCGAGTTTAATCGATTCTTCCGAACGATATTGCGATTGTCGTAGATCGATAGTGACACGAAATAAATGCCTGTAGCTGCCTCGGGGGTGCGAAAGAAATGCGGCGTGTTGGTGCGGCGCGAATAAATTCGATTGGGGCGTGTTGCGCAAATTGTGTGCGTTTTCTCTGTGCATATGTGGCGTTGTTGTTGATGTCCGGAAAAGACGGAAATTTACTGAGCATTCGGATGATGGCTTTTCGTGATTGAGCCTGCCTCGTTTCTCCATGAACGGAGCCCTCGATGCTGCTGCCGAGACCGTTGCTTTGTATTCGGAGGCCCATCCTCACGTAGAGCACAGCTATGGACAACATCGGCACGAGGAAGAATATGAGGCAGCTGAGCTCATAAAGCGGAAACTTAGGCATGTTCGGCAGCAACATGGCACACATTGCCGACTCCTCGGAATGACGACCGGATCCTGCAAACAGACGCGGGAAACACGTCCCTCTTCTAAACTTCCGTCATTATTTCCCGTATTCTCTCTCCGTAGGTTACATAGTCTCCGTAAAGGGAGGGTGAAACTTTACTGAACTTTTTATATTGTTAACGTAGAAGTTAATAATTAATTGCCACTCGGCAATATTAAGTCAGGATGGACTTATAGTTTTTTTTTCCGTGAAACTACAAAGCGTTAATTTTTGGAACAGCTTCGCACTTGTGTATCATAGATACTTGAATAGAACGTTCGTAGCATATAGTCGTTGACAATTAAAAGTTGCGTTTTGTGTAGTGTTCTTTCATAAAGTTTATTTCAGTTACACTAGCGGTAAATCTCTGTTACAGACAGCGATTGTTAAAAAGATTTTAATCCAACGAATTTTAGGTAGTATGCCGATTGTATTAATATTCGATAATCTGAAATATATAATAAATTCTCTTGCAAATGGAATTTCGTTATAATCTGTCAGCTACATATTGCAGTTGTCGGATTAAAAGCTTTAAATCATATCAGTACAGAAGTATTATAATATGTTTTGACTAATTAATTCGTGATTGAATAACCACTTATCTGTGCAACGTGTAAAACGCATTTAAATATTTTAATCGGGGTGAATATACAATCTGTGAAATAACAATTCGCACGCATTTCATGATTATGTGGACACGGGGACAGAAGAAGTTGTTTTTACAAATAAATTTATGAAATATATAAATAACTGGTTTGTAAATATAGATTTAAATTTATTTTTAATATTTTTAGATTAAAATTATAAAATTTGAAAAAGCTTCAACATGGCAAATGTTGAAACATCATAATGCAGCCTCGTGTGCTTTAAATTATACCGGAAACAAAAGTTTTAATTGTCTCGCTCCGTGTATATTAAATCCAATCCAGAATTATCCAAATTTAATTATTTGGATATCTTTTATTTAAAAAAAAATTATCTCCTCCCTCCAAAGTATCTTCTCTACAAAAGTAAAGATATCGTCAAATGACGCCAACTAAACTGAATATTTATACAAACTAGGTACTTTATTATTTTTTATATTAAAATATTATAGCCAAACAATCGAGCATAAAATTTTATCGGAAGAAATAAAGGAAATAATAATATTAATGAGATAACTTTTTAATACTTATTCCTTAAAAATTTAATGCAAATAAATTTAATACAATGATGAATATTTTTCAAAAACGACCTACACTGGCCAATGCCTTTATTTAATATAAAAACGATGTTTCGGTCCTGGATTTGGACCCTTTTCAAGTAATCTGTAATCGTATACAATTCGTCACTAAACTTATATATAAAATAAATACAGTATAATTAAAATTTAGACTAAGAGAGATTATGAGTAAATCGTGAATCTATAGAGCGCAATTAACATTTGGTTTAGCAGCACGAGTCATTACCGTGTCTCGTGATAAACTAATTGCATCTAATTGCATCTTATTCTGTTTTGCATATAAAAATCGTTTCAAATTTATCTATAGTTTATATAAAAATTGAGAATAAGATTCTACTTACAATTTTACGTTAATTATGTGCGTTACGTCAAGCAATATTGTGCGAAATTTATTTATTAAATAAAAAATTACAGAAATAGTATGAAGTCGTGATAATAAGTTGATTTGTGCAAACATTATCTCGATTGAAATAGATTAGATGCCGTTTCGAATAAGTGTTGGAGAAGATAATCCTTTCGTCGAAAGTAGCAAATTGCGTGGGACAGAATATACATGTGAAATTACCGTGTAAATTTAAATACGATATTATTTCATGGCGACAAACAAACCAAGGCCACGCGCCAGTAAATCGTTTTTCGCGTATAGTCTTGAAGTTTGTTGTTGTCGCATACGTCGGGGTTGCGCCGCTCAAGACTGCCGTCCTACGCATTCTCATTTCGACAATCGTGTAAGTCGGCAGTGCGATTTATATTATTATATTTCTAAACGCGATTATTCCTTACGAAAAATTTGCGAGTTTTGATTTGCATAATTGATTAACTACTGCGATTTGTAAGCGACCGCCACTTATTGTCGCCGGTTATTTTATGAGCTTACTTTATTCAGTCTACATCGGAATCGAAACAATAGGAAATGAGAGTTTCATATCGTTTCAATGGCATATTTATTACCGGTAATTATTCTTTTAATTACTCTTGTAGAACATTGTATTGTTCACTAATTTCTTCGTCCGATTAAAATGCGGTTTACCTGTTATCTTTCCCGGATGGACAGTACGACGTAACATACGAATTGCTAGCTCGAAAGATTTAAGTAATGAAAAACCTGTCACGTGTGAACTATTTACTGGCAATATTTTCGCAAGAGTGCATCTCGCGTTTGATGTCAGGAGTAGCGTGCAAAGTGCAGCGCGATTTGTATTCCGATCGTGTAGTCTCGTGATTAATATGTATACGATTCTAGGTGTGAACACAACAGAAGAACCTGAAAGAAGATAAACGGCGACGAGAACGAGAAGGATGAGATCTACAAGATATCGACGATTTAGTTACGACACTCTGATGCTGTACATCGCATCCGTGAGTGATAAATTATCCTTTATTTTATGTGCAATCTAAGATAATGGATCTGTGAATGATGTTACAGGTAGATATAACATCTTTATAGATCCATTATCTCGAAATGGATGGGCTAAGATAAATCGATTTATTTAACCCTAAAACAACTTTAATCTTCTGTCAATTTACTGCGTGTATACTTCAATGCACAAAATATTCAAAACAGAATCACTAATATATAATTAACGTATCTTTATCCGATTTGATCATTTGTTGATTTCGATGCAATAAAATCATATTATATTTAACAGAATAATGATTGCATGCAAGATGTATAAGTTGCTTGAAAAGTTTTACTTTTTTAACATAAATGGAAAAAAGAATCTTTTATAACTTTTAAAATATATATTAAATTGAAAAGACACAAATGAAGATGGAATCAAATTGTTTTTAAATCGGTTAAAAATATTATTGCGAATAAAAATAAAATAACTAAAGCATATTGATATGTTTAAAATAAAGTTTCTACTTAAACTTCGTGGTCTATTCATAGAAATCGCCCAGATGAATGGAAACTGTAGTTCTTGTCTATTATATAGTTCTTGTCTATTATATATTTTATTCTAATTCTTCTTCTATTCTTAGCCAATCCATTCCTATTTATTCATAATTTTATATATAAATATTATTTCGAATCAGATAATCTGATAAATTTACTACAAGAGATTTTTTTACACAAAATATATATGTTATTCGCACATTCAGTTAATTTAAATAATTGACATTGAAATATTACTTTTAAAGAACTGTCTAAATCATTTTTATAAGATATTAGCTTTATAATGAAATATTTAATTTGGCATAAAAGTTCAAAGATATATCAATAGTAAAAAGTTTACGCTGACGTATTGATTGTACGGAGAGTCCATATTATATTTAAAGATGGGCATGTGTAGTAATGGATATTATCTTTTATAAACAAGACCAAGTTTCTCGAGATATAACATCTCTAAAAGATTCAAAAGTATACGAGATCTCGAGAAACCACAATATCAGAAGTATACTGAAGTTGCACATAAATTCACAATGTTGCTCTGTTAGCTTCATGACCATATCGTATTATGGAAGAAAGGAAAAAGATGTAGGAATTATAAATTTATTGTAAGTTGTATTAAAGTTTTTTGGAATAACAAAAGTACTACATAATTAAAAATGATTAACTAATCGGAATGCAACCATGGAATGCGCCATGAAATATGGGTAACAATTACAGCGATTTATAATCTTAACGATGCATATTAGCCGCGTTGTAAGGATAAACCGCTGGAATTTAACGCGATATTTCAGCACATTAGGGATGCGTTGGGGAATACGTGCGTTTCTCGATGCTGCCAAATTTTTATATATTTCTCATTTATACGTTTTATATATTTTCTGCGATCGGATGATAAGTGTCTTGCGCGATAACATCGATAACCGCGATTTTCATCAATCGTTCGTGATAAAATAACGTTGATGCGCGCCATGGAAAGCCTCTCTTTGTGCGATATAATTGCTTAGTATATCGTCGTCATGCGCGGCGTTGTTTTCTCATTGAATATCCGCGAACAACGTTATTATCACGTCGTTGTATATGATGTGCCCAAAAGCTTTTACAAAAGTAGTATTCTTCTTCAATTTTCTCTTTCGATTCGCCTATACTGTCTAAATGACAGTGTAACCAAACGCCAATTGCAAAATAGGAAGGAATTTTTCCCCCAATTTATTTTATATTTGATATCTGCAAGGGATTTCGTTAACTCGCAGGTACTTGATAAAACTTACAGATAAATACTAATAGAAACTCATTTGAACTCATTTAAACTCATTTAAGTACAATTAAATAGATAAATACGCGGGACAGAAATAAATAGGAATTAATTTGAACGCATTTATGTATATTAGGTAGCTGAATACGTGGAAAATTCTGAAGGCAATCTCTAATTTTGAGATTGAAAAACTCGTATCTTTGTGAAATAATTTTTTTATTGGTTCTTTTAATTAGTTAATTAGTATATAAATTCAACTTTTTGTAATTTACCGACTAGAACTTGAAATGTGAGCGTAATATTGGGATCATGGCTGGAGATAATTTGTCACTTTGATTTACCGAAAATCTGTGGCGAAACGGTCTATTTGACATATTCACGTGACCACAGAGGTATTTTACATCACCACATGTTGCAGTTTGGACAGCTATTTCCGTAGTACAAAATTCAATGCCTACTCACGATCAGAACGATTCCAGCGGAACACTGAATCGTGTTTCGAAATTAAAACAAAATGCTCGCAAATTAAAGATCAGTTCTAGCCTTTTACTTCGCTTATTACTTTTTGTTGGTTTGTTAGTGTAGATTATTAGGTTTGTCGTAAAATTTCCGTGATATAAATTTAAGAGTTAACTTTTAATTAATCTTTCCTTTTTCTTTATTAAAGAAAATTAATGGATTCTATTTAACTCTCTTTCTCTCTTTCTACCTGGGATACCGATTTTAATTTTTTTGTTTTTTAATTATGGAGCTCCACGCGCGCGCGTGATAACTTCAGTAATTATTTGTAATAATACGGAATCTTATAAGCGCGCAAAATTAGTTTGGATATTGATTATTAAAATTAAGAGATAACTCGATGGTGTTATTTTAATATATTATTTTATTATTATTTAAACGCGATATATAATATTTAATTTCTATTTATTTATTTTTATTTATCAGAAATTGTTTGGATATTTCTTATAATCTCCATTCGTGAATTAATTGTTTACGTTTAGATCGTTTTATATTAAAAATGCTCTTCTTGCAAAAAAAGTCACTTTTGTTTAATTATTTATTTCACTGTGTCTACGATCATTGAAATCGGAAAACTGATGAAAAATTCGCAGGGATAATTGGACGAGCGTTTGCTTTAAACGAGTTTATTCGTTGATAGTCCGTAAGTGTACTCACGATGAGTAAATAGACCAGCTATTACACGTAGATCGCAAACTCATTACGCATCTATTCAGTCCTCTTCCTCAACTGATGTCTATACAGTTGACATATTTTTTCTATCCCGATCTATTTTTGGAGGGCTAACAAAGTGATAGATTTCTCCGAAGAAGTAATATGAGTTAAAAATAGAAGGGAAAATAAATAAGAAAAGATCGAATAACAAAGATGGAGCAGAATGAAAAGATTGCACGGAGATGTGAAAAAGGAGAATTAAAGGAAGACCGAAAGAGGATATCAAGGAAGAAGATTCAAAGAATTGAAGTACAGGGACTACAAATGATAAATTATAAAATTAGAATGCAGAAATTTAGGAGGATGAAAGGTAAAGTCAACAAGGAGAATCGAACAAAGAGAATAAATTAGGGGAAAAATAAAAATGAGGAAGAAAAGAAACAGAAGAGACGAAGATGAAAGGAGGCTCGGCGAAATAAACTTCATTAAAAGGAATTGAAGAAAAGAGATAAAAAAGGGGTTACAGGAAAATCGCGAGAAAAGGATCGATCGCTGAGGGGAATAAGAGGCAATTAAAGAAAGATGATCACAAGAAAGATTACAGCAGAATTCTAATATTATTCTTGTAGCTAAAATTCAATGTACGAAAATTTTTAATCTACAATTCCCCCTCAGGGACTCACATTTGTGAGTACGGGTTTGGCAACCCCGAGGTACCCGAGCCCACCTAGGTGTTTGGTCATCATCTTCAAATTCACTTTAGATGATTTACAATTTATCAAAATTTCTGGGCAGAATTCTATTTATAATTTTATAGATTACAAATTCTGCAAATGCTCCCCTTTTTTTATATTTCATAAATTACTCACGTAAAGTTATAAATAGAAATAGTATAAACCATCATAAATCTTTCAGATTCGCAATTTTCTTTTATATCCCGCATTATCAGTGACACTTGTATTAGTCCTCTAAAACTTTTGGAACTTTTATTTACGGCATTTATATCGCTGGCCAACAACACTCGACTGAATACGAGTAGATAAGTTATTAATACAAGAGATACTTACTTGGCGGATACTCGAGGTAATTGACGGTGGTGTAAGCGGCGAAGGGTAGGGCGAAGAGGAGGGCCAGTAGCCATGCGCCTAAGATGAATCGTATAGGTCGTTTCAGTCCGCTCATCGAGTACAAATGCAGGGGGTGGCATATAGCTAAGTACCTCTCCAACGAGAACACTACTATCGTTAACACCGACACGTAAGACGACCTTAAAACAAGAGCAACAGCATAAAGTTATTACGCGATTTCGATTCACACGAAATCAGTATCTCAAAGGAAACAGTTGAAGTTATTAACATCGTTTCACAATATAATCTATAATATGTACTTATTTCTACTCTTACTTTTATCTAAGTTTTTAGATGTAAAATTAAAAAAACTTGAAACTATACTCTTAAACGCAAATTGCAAAATATTTCTAAATTTTATTGGTACCATACATTCTTATACAGTTTCTACTAAAAAGATAACTGCAACAGGGGAGATGTAAAGAAGCTTCCTGAAAGGGGCGATTATTTCAAAACAAGTGCATGTTTTCTACGTACATAATTGTTGCACGATCTCATCAGTATTTCTGTATTTCTTCTTCATGCCTTTCTGAAGGAGATCCCGGAGCAATTCTGCACTTTTGCACCTTTTGCACTTAAAACTGTTTGTTTCGTGGACACATTTGTATAATATACAAATTAAATGGCTTACGTGTACAGATCGAAAGCAGCCTGCTATTCCGGCTAAATTAAAGAACAATATGGCATCACTGAAACTAAGTTTGTAAGTCTAATAAGAAATAATAGTGAGCAACACACATTCTACATGTACTGTATGTGTGTGTGTGTTGCTCACTATTATTTCTTATTAGACTTACAAACTTAGTTTCAGTGATGCCATATT